TTAGTTTTCTGCGCACATTGAAAGCGTTCGCTCGACGCAACTTATCAGTTGACGTGGCTCTCCTGAAATCGGAACCGCAGTAAAGCGAAGACGAACTTGAAGAACCAGACTTGCCTGCGACGATTGTCGCTTCATTGCTTCGTCGCTTTCTCGCTTCATCTTGCTATTGCTCCGTTGCCTCAGCGTTCCGAGGCCCTAGCGTTCCGTCGCTTCATTGCTTCGTTGCTTCATCGCTTTCTCGCTTCATCTTACTGTTGCTCCGTTGCCTCAACGTTCCGAGGCCTCAGCGTTCCGTCGCTTCATTGCTTCGTCGCATCATGACAGCGGCGATGACTTCCAGTCGAAGTCCTGCACTGCACCGTCCGGTTGCAGCATGTGCCAACGCTCCACTGTTTTTGAGAACTACGACGAAAGGCATCGGATTGGCAGCATACATCTCTCATTACTCTCGAATGTTGAGGATCGAGTCCAATCCCGTCGAAACACCAGCGAAATGGAAGACGTGAACTCTAGCAATACTGATGGCTCCGGCAAAAATATCTAAAACACCACCAGGAGTGGTTCGAGAACCAAGACGAAAGGCATCGGACTGGTAGAACGCAGTCAGTATCACTCGGAAGCCTAACTTTATTATATATATAAGCTGGAGTCATCTCTTCGAACACGCCTACGAGCCTAAAGGCGTTAACTCTCGCTATAACAATGGCTCCGGCAAAAGCCTTTACGACCACCAACCGTTTTCGAGAACTACGACGCAAGGCATCGGACTTGCAGTACGCAGTCAACTTTCTTATATATACAAACGATGGGACCCAACGTCGTGGACGATGCCTTGGCACATTGGGAGCCACAGTAATGAGAAGGCAAGTTAAGGGGTGTGAATTCTTGAGGCATTGGTTGCTCTGGCAAGCCCTATTGACCAAGACACACTGTGGTTCGAGACAGAACTTATTGGTGGTACCTCGTGGCCAAGTTCCGAAGTACCGCGGCCTTACTTTCCTATTTATACTCCAATGTGGAAGATGCTTTGGCGAATTGGGAAGCATCAACAAGGCAAAAGAGATTGAACGGACGACTTTTCCTGCGACAGTCAGATGCCCCATATATGCAGCGTCGGTTTAATGCTCTGGCATTTTCCCAAGTAACTGCGTTCGGCAGGCTTCGCTAACTACGACGCAAGGTATCACTTTCTCCAAAACTGCTGTTGCGATTGTCTTCGCCAACTACTACGGAAGGCACCGTTCTCGCCAAACTTTCGACGATGGCCTCCGGGTTGGTGGTACGTAACCATCAGGAATTGCACAGCAATGGAAAGTCTGCGAGAGCTTCCTGATTGTTCTGTCGCAATACCTCGCCTTCCAATGGTAGCTGGTCGCTGCGAAAGCTCATCGGTCTGTTCACCTTGCAAATACCCATAGTCAAAGGGGGTCGAGCATGCTACCGGGAAATTACGACCGACGGCGGTCTTCGCCAACTACTACAGAACGCATCATTCTGTCGCATCATGTCGGTTGATGGGACACAGCCATCTGGAATCACACAGCATAAGTTGCCTGCGAGAACCGTCGCTTGATTGTTCCGTCGCATCATGTCGGTTGATGGAACACAGCCATCTGGAATCACACAGCATAAATTGCTTGGAGAATTGCCACCGCATTGTTCCGTCGCACAAATGTCGGCTGCAGATGATAGCTGGTAGATGAGAGGCTGACCTCACTCAACTTGCTAAAGCCTCTTGCCGATCTACATGCCGTCAAGAATGTCGACGATGCTCCCATCGAAAAAAATAAAGGTTTGACACCTCGAACGATGTTCGACTGTCATTGAAAAGTTCGATGAAGGGTAACAAACCGAAAATAACACCTTATATATAGAAGGCCTCCAAGGTCTGGTATGCACCATGACAGAGTGCGTCTGCGTCACAAGCTCGCTCTACACGCCGACCTATGGTGCTGGTGGACGTGAGGTAGGATGGCCTAACCTCACATCATAGCAGAAAACTAGCGAGAAGTCATCGGTGGTGGAATCACTCGGAGGCTTAGTAGGTGGAATTGCCACTCGGAAGCACGATCGCGACTTCGACCATCTATTGTGACCTCGTCTTCAGTGTCACTCTCTCACCGGTCCTGTGATCTCCGACCCAATCATATACAATTTGGCCCAGTGTCTCAGCACANCGCTAAGTTGGCCAGTTCAGACTATAACGATCACTTCGGTTCCAGCTGCGATGCCATATCTGATGGTGCCTATAACATCAAGGTCACAATTTACGGTTTCGACGCTTTCGTTTCACCCATCTACGCCCGCACATTCCCTAAGCTATCCAAAATCTCCTACCGCGTCCGAAACCTCGAACCCACTTCAATTGAACGACCAAGCTACGACTCTTGCGTCGCTGAATCTTCCAAGCATGGCATGTATATGGAAAAGGGGGTCAGTGAGCCTTGCTACATTCTCTGGTCGATTTCATAGCAGCCCTGGTGCCTGTCATAACTCATCGTAACATACAACGATGTTCAGTTACTTCTTCCATGCTGCATCTGCCGACTGTATCGATAGGCGCGGTGTCGAATAAGCGTCCGAACCAGACCTACCTTCATGCGAGCCATCGTCGAGAAGCAAGCCGAAGCTCATCATATACGGCTGCTTGAGCAACTCTAGCTGGAGTCTATAATTCATCTTATATATGGGGCCCTTGAGCTTGCCTTCAACCTCGACATCATGGGGGGATGATGGATCTTTCTGAAGGCGATTTCTCAAACAAGTCATCTGCTCAAATACGTCCCAAGCTCGATGGTGCAGCTTAACATCCTTGAAACCACCAAGAGATAGCACTATCGAGGGTACACTTCGCTCTGAGCCACACAAGAAAGACAGTGACTGTGGTAGTTATGCCAATGAAACCGACAGCAAACGCCTTGCACAAAATGGTCAATGTCGAATTGTTGGCACTCGTTCTGGATAATGATCCGACTTCTACTTCTTCAAATACTCAAGCGAGTTCGCATGCGAGCGACCGTGATATCACGCTTCCTGTCTCCATGCTTGGTTCTTCTTACCCTGCCGGGAACATACTTCTTCGATTGCTCTTTCTTCCTGCAATCTGCTCGAAGCCGGCTTCGAAGTCTATGGAGCTCAATGGCCGACGGTGATGCATCCAACGGGTCAGTTGCGACCATATTTCTCAAAATATAGGAAACAGCTAGTGCAACATCTACTGCGAGTGGCTAGAATTCTCGGGTGATGATAAAGCAACGGCACTTCGTCGCGAACGCACATTCGGTCTTTGAATACCTTGTTAACAACCGAGATTCATCTTCCTATGTAGTGGGCTCCGGCTCCGGTCTCGGTGCATGCCCAAGCTTGGTCAAAACGATGTTCGAGACCGTGTGGTTATTGCTCTCAATCCATCGATGCAGGCTCTCATTTGGAAGAAACGCTTCACGCAGTTGCCTCACTTGCCTGCTTGAACGCAGGGATCAAAAACCCGGGAGACACGACCATGGTTTCAAGTCGTTGACATCTCGCTCTCATTAACATACTAGCCCTTCGAGACTGGCTATTGATCTCATTCTGCATGAACACACACATGCATCCTTTCTATATTGTCTTTATTCTGATCGCAGCTGCCTTTATCTACGATATATACTACTCAATCTCACGCGACATTGAAGGCAAATCTAGCCGATCAGGACTTCACCGGATTCCAAACACACAGGTGTACTGAGCCCAAAGCGACAACCAACCCTATAAAAATGCCTAACGGATTCGGCTTCTAAGCCAAGGAGAGGATTGGAAGCACCCAATCTCCCGTGCCATGGCCCACGCGCATCACAAATGACTCTTGTAATGCTGGCTGATGCAAAAGCGCTTACCTTTCTACCACAAAAGACTCTCGCAAATGTGATTGCTTTTCGATGCTGCGCATCAGCAATAACTGGGGTTGCGTACAATCCTCAGCATGGCCGATTTGCCTATCACGCTGGGAAATATCGACGTCGTTCAAAACACTCAACCGGTTTATAAAACCCATGCTGTTATAGCACAAGCGCTCGTATCCACATCTCTATCACCCATATATCATCGTTCAAATGAGTCAATGCCTTTGCTATGACTTAAGAACACGAGGGCGCTTCTCTTAGGCTTGGGAAAGATAGTCGAGATATAACTATACTTTCATGTGGAAATCGCTCTCGATTACCGTTTCACTTCGCGGGCTGTCACATTAAGGTTGCCACTCGGGACAGCTCAGGTCAGACGCAGAAGTTAAAGCCATTCGCGCTCCTTCTATTGGTTTGAGCCATTGTTTTGTCGAAAAGTGAAAGCGCTACGATTTCAGCGATCCAAGCTCGACTTCGGTATGAAATTCTCTTCAGTTAACTGTCATTCTGAAGCGAAAGGGTCGCTCTAGAAAAAGACACCCACTAAAGAAAGGGCGATCAGTTGGCCCATGGAGAGAACGTGTCCATGGATATCTCCGATATTTGCCGTCGGAGACGAAGACGATAATCGGTCGGAAGTTCACCATAATCTTCATTTGAAGAACGAAAGTGAGATAAAATCAAGGCCATCATTAATTTCGTTCTCTGGCCTATATACACACAGCACGGCGACACACTACGGCCTATTACCTACTTTCATATAGAGTGGCTCACCTTGAAGTCAACTTAATGCGTGGTGACATTTGAATCGCCAGAAGGGATCAGACGAGACGGCGTCCTGCAATCTCTTCAGGCTTGGTGCTCGTGGAAGCGCTCACATTCTCCGTAAGTCTAATGTCACCCAGCTTGGCTGTCATCTAAGCGGTTGCTAACCTACCTGTTTCCAGAGTCTCGACCGATCGAGTTGTTCCCTCGTTCTCGCACATTATACACCTTATCAGCTCCTCATTCCGATCATACTGTAACTGCGAAGTTTGAAGAAGGAGTTCAGCTACGACCTTCCGAGGCTTCTTGCAGAGTTTCACGAATACTGCTTATACCTTAAACACGGGAGTCGACAAACTTCACCAGAGAAGCTTAACCGACTATATATATCCATCTTGCCCAGTACAGCGATGAATTCGTTCAATATTGGCAAGGCCTTGCACCAATTTGACGACGAGTCACATCGCTACAATCTCCGCTCTACTGCTCAATTGCGGGTGACTTCTATCATCGGAAAAGGTTCTGAAATATACTCTTCCACTGGTAAATCTGCAGAAGAGCATCTCAAGCAAAATGGCTCTGCCGTTTGAGTTTCAGTCACAACTCGGATAAATGGCGGCTTGCACAACGGGATACCAACCACGAATGCGCCGTTCAATCCATATCAAATCTTACCGTTATGGAAGCGAACCAACTTGAAAAAGCTCCTGCTGCATCTTGATGGATGGCAAAATGATATATAGTCATCTGAATGACGGTATTGTTTCCGTCGAATTTATACTTCGCTTTCGCATGCGTATACTTCTTCCTTGATCTGGTAGACGTCGGTTTCAAGGAGAACCGGCTGGAAATAAAAAAAGCTCGGATGCAGGTGTTCCAAATCAGCAATCGAAAGCTCAGCTGTATGCTTCTCATCTCTGCGAAGACATGCAGATGATACTGTCAAGAACTCGGGCTGCCGTCTATAAATAGGAAGAACGTATTTCCGCCTACAGCTGATACGTTGGTGCAGCGTTCTAGCTCTGGATAAGAAGGGACTGCCTTTCGATCTTATCACACGATTGAAGCAATCAATAAGCTAGCGCTTTTTCCTCTTATATCGCTCCTTCATCCACCAGCTGAGATGGTAGAACGTGGAGAAAAGAAAAAAGAAGACCGTCAGCACACCAACAAACCTCGATCCAAAAAGATCAACGTTCAAGCTCTTCCGCAGACGAAGAACCAGCATCGGTGCTTGACAAAGATGATGTCTCTCGATGAGATAATAAGGTAGAAGATATCTTCTGCTGTGCATTTCCTCGCCGGGAAAAAAAAATAAATAAATAAAGATAAATAAATAAATAAAAATCAAAATAAAAAAGAAAAGAAAGAAAGAAAGAAAGAAAGAAAACAGACATCCCGCGATTTTGGTTTCAAAATGTACTAAAGCTGTTGCAGCTTTCTCGGCATTGCAAGATTGACGGGTTCAATCAGGAAGCCCTCGGCGGCGCATGGCCGCTATGAGAAGAATAAAAAAGAAAACAAATATATATATATGATCTCCCTTGGACTATGTGCATACCGGATCCACTATGGAATGATCGGCCACAAGTTCCCAAGTGCCGGAGAACAAGGTTGATGAACATAGAATCTCTTACGCAAAGAATCAGGGTGTTTGATGCAGGAAGGGGTTGAATCAGTGCTATTCAAACCGGAGTTCAGCAAAGCTCTATCCAAACATGCAACCTTGAATGGGCAGACAATAGGTGGGAACGGGGTCAAAATGCTTCCACTCTTTAACACACTTGAAGCATCGCTCGCCTCGTCTAGCGAATCTGAAAATCATCTGGACAGGAGTCTTACTGGACCCTGCATGGAAGTGGAAATGCAGTGACTGTGGCTCACGACTGAGCTTGCCACAGACTTTTAAGAGGCCTCCGACGACAGTGACGTATTCGATAAAACTTAGGACTGGTTAGGTCTACCATGCGCACAATTCATTCGACGCAGTGCTCCAGTTATACAAGAACCTGCCAAGCCACAGTTACATACCTTTCCTCGAACCCACGCACTTCAGTTGCTGCCAATTGACGGATTGGTTTACCATAGTGTTGGCTATGATGCAGTTCCAATAGGATCTCCATGAACCTTATTATTCGGGTTCATGGCCGGCACCTGCTCGGAGAGAAGGCACCAGATTTATATTTGACAAAGAAACAATAGTCTACACTCTCGACAGTGGATACAATATCATGACAGCTCATCCGACCAGGTCGATAAGGCTGGTCTTACTTTACCTCACCATGTCGGAATGGTCTTCTACTACTCTACAAGGGCTATGTTCCGACCAATCTTGAACAGGGCAACGAAGCTTAAAGCCCAGGATTATTACCTTTATGGTCCGAAACTGGCGTTTTCGTCATAACCAGCGTTTCTCTGGTGATCCAAAGCATGTGTCTTCAAATTTTGATACCTCTTGCCGATTGCGTCTCCGAAAATACCATCAAAATGCGCGGGCTCTACTGCTTCGTTCCATCTGGAGCGATATTCTTTCCGACCGTGGGACATCCCTCTTCCCCCTTGTCTGCTGAGGTATGCCTAGTGGTGGATCTCTACTCTTCTCTTCTCTCTCTTGTTCCTCTACCATCCTAAACACTTCCACTTCCTCTGTGTTCAGCTCGCAGTCTCACGAAGCGGCTTGTAATTTGCCTCATTTATCTATATTCCCCATATCTACCTTATAATATCCGCCGTCACATCGGCTCAATTGCAACATAACAGTCTAGCATCTAAATGGGAAACGGTGATTGCCTAACCAGTCCATCTGGAAAGTCAAAGAATCGAAACCTCGTTGCTCCCACTATATATCAGCGCTTCTTGGAATTTAAGGCTCCAGAAGCTGAAGAGCAGTGGTCTAGGTTCTCTATTTGCACAGAACCCAAGTCCTGAACAAAAGAGGATGGTTCATGAATCACAGAATTTACGAGCCACGTTGGCTAGTCAATATTATCTTTACTTCTTCCATCACGACGAGCCACAAGGGCAAGGAGCCAACCTTCTATATTGACGTCCTTTAACCAGTCATTAAGGATTCAAGGCCTTCGTCGACGGCCTTAATGTTCCTCTTGCTTACTTCTGCTCGTTCAGCCCCTAAGAAATGAAGAAAAAAGACAAAAGAAAAGGAAAGGGGAAGGGGAAGGGAAAAGGAAAAGGAAAAGGAAAAGGAAAAGGAAAAGGAAAAGGAAAAGGAAAAGGAAAAGGAAAAGGAAAAGGAAAAGGAAAAGGAAAAGGAAAAGGAAAAGGAAAAGGAAAAGGAAAAGGAAAAGGAAACGGAAAAGAAGAAAGAACAAAAGAAAGAATAACCACTCGGGCCTGCGTTTCAGATTGAAGAAGTCTCAACGAGTGGCCTATCTGCTTGTCTACGCTCCAGTCACCTTGCCGGTGTGCTTAATCGATCATTGCTACTTGGAAGTTAGAGCGACCTGCTTGGCAGCTGCTCAATTCTTTTTTCGGCCAGCCTGGTGGATGCTTCTTTCTCCTCGCTTTATCATCCTGGATTCAGGCCCACGATATATAGAACTACAAACAGCCAATGCGCAGATGACACTTGTGCGGCTTCATCGTCTGAAGATCCATCGGTACACGCGATCAAAAGTTACCAAACGGCCTTTCACATATTACTTGCGTTCTGTGACTTGGACGGACGCGTTATAAGCTCCGCTAAATTGACCGCGAAGGGAAAAATCGCGAACTCATCCGTTATGGGTGGCAAGTTGGTACACTGGGCTTTCTCAGCGCCTTTTTAGCGACGCAGCATTAGCTGTTGTACATAGCAGTGTGGTATCACCTGATCACTGCGAAATGACGTGGACCGAACCAATCGTCTTACTTCTATAAAGTCTCCAAAGCCGAGGTAATCCTCTTGGGACTCGCTTCTCCAACGTATGGTGGTTAGCTTTGGAACTTACTGACAACGGAGCCTAACTTTACGACCTGGGATAACCAATCCAATGTTGATGGCATTCGCTCCACTCTGCAGCGCCTAACTTCGAGGGCAAAGAGTACAACAGCAGGAGGCGAACGTTCTTGATGCGGAGAAGAAAGAAACAATAGAAATATCTCTCCCACTTTATCACGCCGGAGCTTTAGAAAAACGCAGATGACCCGGTTGCCAACTTAAAGCAGGATTCTAATGAAGCAACCATCATGACGATGGTGCCTGTGGAAATCTGCCTGCGTGTATCTCAGTTGAAGCTTTGTGGTATTGCAGTACCGTACCATCCGGCGTGCATTACTATTCCACTGATAAGCTCACTGGCTGCCCTTCAACCTCATATACTAGATTTGACTTGGGGGGTGGGGGCTGTACCTACTACACGGAGTGGTGAGAATGGGTGATGGGGAATACATGCATGACACACAGCCTTTCAAAACAGTCTATACCCGAAGATGTACGCGACATGGCCTCGTATGAGGTTTAATCTCAATTCGAACTGCGAGTTAGTCTCCTGGATTCGGAAGCTACCTGGCAAGCTGATGAGCGATCGCTGGAAATACATGGCATACCCCTTTCAGCATGGTCTACTTACGAGGACGTAATGCCTTTGATGAGATCTTTACCTCGTTTAGAAGTGCCCGGTAGAACCCTCTAATCCAGGCTTGGTCTACTTACTCCACCGAGCAACCTGAAGGGTAGCTTCCGATCGCTTCCTTCAATCTGGCAGTCCCGAAGTCGAGTTCATACGAGGGCAAATAAACAAAAATGTCCATGCTCTGGCATCATACAACAGATAAAAGGCTTTGCCAAAGAGAATCATCTTATAATATGATGATCAGCCCTTTATATCTCGGTAAAATCTACTTACTCTACTCCATGGCGCGCGCGATTGCCTGATGAATGACACAGGAGTTCATGCTCGGTGTCGAACGGATGGATAGCTTCCGCCAATATGTCTTTCCAGAAATTTGAGTCAGGCGATTAAGAGCCTACAGACTTACCCAAGCTTTTACCTCTATAAAGGACATAGAGAATCAATGAGGCGATCCGTCTGCTTATCAGACTCCCCTCGCTGTGCGACGTACCCAGCTCTACTAAGTGGCATGCATGATCGCCGGTGCTACTCTCGCACATAATGTCATACTTGGCTGAATGGATCGATGGATCACTTCCGTCAACATTGTCTTTCCAGAAACTTGATTGAGATGACGGAGAGTCTTCGGACTTGTTTGTCCATGCTCTTGCCTCTTATAAAGGATATTGGGGGTTTTAACTACAGGCAATATGTGTATTAATCCTTGTGCAAGCTCTCTCCTATGAGACGCTATCCTTTCAATCCCCAGTACTCCATGGATCATTATGTCTGTATAACATGGCGCTTACTTGTCTTGTCAACGCTTCTCACAATTATGTGCTGGTGGTTTTGCATGGTTATTATGCAACATGCTATACTTAATTATCGCGACTGTTTAGCTGGAATGGATCCTAGAATCAAATTGCATGTATTACCCAACTCATAAATTGAGTTGGTTTATTTGTATCCAAAACCTAACATAAATACGAAGTTATAAATTGATTGACTGGTGTTAGAAGAAAATAACGCTACTCTTATCTTCTGCAGGATCTCCTAGTAGCCTTTTGTAAAAGCCTTCTGCATTTCAAAGTACCGATATGGAGAGACTTAGTACTATAAGTTAATTACTATAAATTAGTCCATTTTCAGAAGAATAATATTAGAGTCTCTTCCTCTATTCCTCTGTCTGCCCCTCCTGAACCTTGATTTTATGCGTGTTGCGAAGATGTCACTTTCGGCCTCATCGTTCGACTCTTCACCCTATCCTCCACTTCACTATGCTCTGGCCATTCTGGCACCCTGGAGCCAATGGGAGAGATCGTACCCGTCACTACCGTCGTCTGAATTATACTCAAAAAGCTCCGCAATGTACCCGGCTCCACTCAAGTTCACTATCCTGGAAAGAACGAAGACCCATATCTAAGAGGTGTCAACTTGGGAGGGGTAGGTTGACAGGATCTGATATTGTCAAGACTAGTTCGTCGCTGGTTTCTCATTGCCTTAGGCTGTTCCCCAGTCCGAAGACTTCTGACGGAGTATATAACATCGAAGCATGATAGGTCCCTTGAGCTAATTACAGGACTGTTGATTATAACATGTTCGTCTATGCTCTCATTTAGTATAGCTTGCCAAATAAATTCCAGCTTTAGAGTTGTACTGGTAGTATCTCTGTTATTGTACCCTATCGGACGCAGTGCAAAACGGCCCTCGTTCCATGTGCACTGGAATTCGTCGACATTGAGACACATGAGGTTCTTTATGCTATTGTACGATAAGTGTTTATTGTTGGCCGTAAATATCTGGCTTCGTCGTGACTACCTGCCAGACACTACCCCCAAGAATCATCGGACTTCTGCATATTCCTTATCCCAGAATGGTGGATATGTTCCGGTAGCAGTAGCCCGTTTCCCCCCTTGCTTTTCCCTCCTGTAATGGTGTAATCAGGAAAATATACTATGCAACCTCAATTATTTCGTCTCAAGTTGCGTTGTATGATGCAACGATGTTTATCCCTTTCTGAGGGGTTTCTTAATACTTGGTCACGGAGGATGGGAAGTATAGCTCGCATCTTCGCTGCCCCTCTGAGTACTAGTGTCTCAGTCCTCCTGTGTTCAGTTCAGTATGGTAGTAACATAGCTTGTTCCTGGAGCCCCATCAGGCTTGATTCCGAACTTTCCATATCGTTCTATCATTGGTATGGATATTATATCTCAAGTTTTGACTTCTTGCTCTTCTCTATTACTAAGTCAATCTATGTGTGTGTGGAGATTTCCAGAAGTATGGCGTCTTCTCCAATTCAGTAGTGGTATTGAAGATGGTAAGTTCCCTAGTTCGTGGAAGAATTGGGCTAAATTTATATTTGGAGGCGTGGTTGGACAATGTATTTTTTGTCAATTCAATCCTATCTATATTCATTGCTTCTCATGCTGTTTACTTCAAGTTGTATTCACATTCTTCGATCCTATCATTCCTCGTGCCTTGGTCTTGTACGGGCTATGCAGTGCTTCACTGTCCGCAGCAGGGGTGGCCCTTAATTCGGTCAATTCCCTCAAACTCGCAGAGATAAACACGTGAATGTTGCAGACAGAGTAAAACTGCAACGTAGCTGAACAAGACTGAGGCTACGGGAGGTTCGCTGAGAACCATGCTAGTACGAATAATGCTACGCTAGTATGGATTATGGAAACATGTTATGAATCGATATATTGACTTCTATCCTCCCATTTGGGTTACAGTCAAGGAAAACTCCCCGTAGGGTAAAAACCTTGGCCAGGACGATACAGAATTGTCAACCATGACAAAGGAACACCCAGGAACAGTGAAAATCTATATATGATCTCCGACCACCATCAGTCTCCCTATGAGGTGGTTAGTACAATGTAAAGAAGCCCGTCTTGGTCAATTTACCTATCGGCTAACTCTCCGCGCTTCACCGCGGGGTGGCAAATATATATTAACCAGCCTGGAGAGCCGTTAGTACCAGTCGTGAATAAGCGGCAGAATTACTTACAAGCTCTGTCACTTACTGGACCTGCCACTGGGCAGTTACTCGCTCATGTCCAGTTATCCTGCGTATGGTTGAATGCTTTTGTGGATATCAATCGGGATATCCCAGCGCTCGATGACTACCTCGCTTTAGCCATATTAAAGAGTTTGGCAGATATAAATGGCGGGCAGGTCGGTGCTAGGCTACTAGGACAGTCAGTGTCTGTTTCCCAATATAACGAAAGGGTACTGACATATCCACAATTAAGACTAGCCTGACGTGCGGCGATATGTATCCAGCCTACAAACGTCAGTTCTGAACCCAGCCTGCTGACGAGGTATGACATACAAGTTCTGTCACTTACTGGGCATGGCCACAGCGCCAGGCGTCAAAGCAGGAGGACAGATGGGAGAGGAGGAAGGGCCGATGGTGGCCAGGGAATGGGAGGAGAAAAAGGATGGGTGGAAGGCACTGGGATTACGTTAGAAAAGCATGATAACAAGAGCAGAGGACCGGACTGACCAGAGCATTTCCCTTTTGGAGCTGGCCTGCGTGGTAGGCTGAGTGTTTTTAGCCAGCCTAGTGACTGTCAGTATAAGAAGCAGCAAGACATCTGGTTGTGACTCACAAGCTCTGTCACTTACTGGGCCTGCCCACGGGGCGGCTTATGCTCAGAAAGGAGGTGTTACACAACTATCCCTGGTTTATTGTTCAGTTAGTAGCTAACAGCCTTGCCGTCACACAAGCACCACCAGAGAAGCTCTGATGAACCCATGCTAGGCAAGGTCAAATCCCTCGGTATGCCCACCAAAAGAGCCTAGACGGCGGTCAGCCCAACCAGACCTGAACGAGCACTTACCCAAGCAACATCTTCAAAATTCGCTCGAGGCAGAGACAGGAAGGAACGAGGGCGAGGAATACCTGTAAGGAGATGGCAGTCAAGCAGGTTAGCAAGAGCAAGGAAGGTTGAAGGTGAAGGAAGAGAGTGAGAGAGAGAGGAAAGAGAGAAGGACAGAAGGGAAAGAGAGAAAGAAAGAAAGAAAGAAGGGGGAGGGGAAGGCCGTCAATATCGCCAGCGAGACTAGGCCGAAGACGGGCATACAGACACCGGCAGGGAAGGAGCAGATGCAGAACTGCGACTTCCTCTTCGGGAAGGATCGAGCTGCATTGAGGCAGGCAAACGCATCCAAGCCGGGATGACGCCTCACGGACGAGAGAGCGCGGTCAGGGTCGAACAATCCATCTGGTATCAGTTTCTCGCAAAGTCGACTGCCTTTCGAATAACATCGCTATACAAACGATCGATCTGGTGTCAGCTTAAGGAGAATCGGAAAGACGAGCGTCAAGTCGAAGCATCGGGTATCGCAATCCATGTCGACGGCGTGGTCACGGGCATACGGGCATCGACTGTCCTGGTGAACGTAATGGCAAAATCTCCGATTCGTAGGCGAGCTATGTTCCCTAATGAGGCGGGTGAGAAGGCGACGGTGTGGATAGCAGAAGCAATACACATGTAGAGAGTACTAAAGTCGGGGAAGAAATCAGGACGGAGCCGAGCATCTTATATTCAAGCTATTTCTATGTACAGGAACGACGATCCATTCTCGTCTCAGAAACTTAAACTTGCTGCATGAAGCACGTCGGTTAGGCCGCAGCCAGCAAACCCTACTTCGAACTGCCAATCCCATTCCATCTTCGAGTGGCTCCCAGCGGTGAGGTGGAAGCCCACATACCAAACAAATAAAGGGTATCACGGAAATATGAACAACAAAGTGCCTCACGAGAGCACCTACTTGCCAGTCCGAAGCGTCAGATTGCCCTCCCAGGAGATGGGAATCGAACAGGCCAAGATCCGGGCTGCGGTGTGCGGCGAACAGCTGTCGGCTGGGCGCCAATCTCAGCCACGTGGCACATGACCCAAGTTAGCGACGCAACTTGGCGATAAAGAAGGTGAAAGTCGGAGGTCGAAGACGAAATGCAGCTTTTATTAGAAATGACGTGGTCTGCGGTCTTCCCCTCAGTGGAGTTGAAACCTTGCCCTTCCCTTGCGCCTACGTGATACACCGCTGTCGCCAGGGGCAGTACCCGGCGCTCACATTGGGCAATCAGATGCAAACTGGCCATACTCTGAAACAACGCTGTGACAGGGCCCTTGAAGCTCCACTGGACAGACCACCGACCAGAAAAAGGTCGGTAATACCTGAAACAGCCGACCGCGGAGTTGATGTGAGGCTGATGTTGGGTCTTCACAATCAAGCAACCTTACGGCCAACGTTGCCAATGCCGCGGCCAACCACGCTGATGATCACATCCCCATTCTCATTCTCACCACTCGCGTCTCTCAGACCCCAACCCGGAGCACCGAACTTGGTCAGGTCCCTGGCCAGCTGGATGGTGCTCTCCTCGGCGATCACCTCCCGACCAACCTGGATTCGTCCAACATCCTCCGATCCCATCGTCATCAGACCCAGCATGGTCGGAACAGCTGCAGGGGCAACGCAACCTCCCTTCGAAACGGCCTCAAGTAGCTGGTAAGCACATCGCTTCCCAATGTCTTCAGGCGCCTCGCCGCCTGCGGGAGGCGACGCCACATCGGCGGAGAACAGGCAGCCAGTAGATGACTCTGCAACCAACGAGAGTCCAAATCCAAGGCCAATCTTCTTTTTCGCGGAAGGGTTGCTCTTCTCGGGAGCAGGTACGAGCGGCGCCGACGACACATCAGAGAAGACATAGGTGTCAGGGACGAGTGGGTTCAAAACACCACGGGCGGTTTCGATCATTCGTGCGTTATTGGATGCGGAAACACCGACAGAGTAGGCCACACCGCGGACCTTCTTGATGCGACCGGCGTTCATGAGGTGCAGGGTCTTCGGCAGCCGGAGCTGGTGGCCAAATACTAGCTGGACTTCTCCACCACCGCCTCTGCCATTGGGTCCAGGGTTCGATCGCCGTAGGATACGCAGCTCGATGTTGTTAAAGATTCCAAATTGGTTGTAGAGAGGGAGAATGGCGGTTCGCACACTGTCCACGGACATGTCACCAGTCGGGGTGGACGAGGTAATCACACCTGGACCAGTAAAGAGGACCTTGATGGGAGCCTTGGAAAAGGGTGCCAAAAGGCAGAGCGGCAGCAGATAATAACTCACGCCACGATTGCACCCTGCTGGGAGCTCGTGCCGGATGACGCCTCCGCTGCTCGTGGCCACACCTGGCGAACTGCCTGTAATGAGGCCGGGCTTATAAACAAGGATAGTACCGGTGTACGAGTATCTCCATCTGGGAGCCATTGGTAATGGACTCCAGAAGACGAAGGAACGAGATTTCATGAGGAGCGAGACCGGGATTCGTAGGCGACGAAGGACGAATCTGGGAGATCTGAATCGTGCGGCCGGTCAACGTAGCGAAGACGAGACGGTACACAAAGTTCTTGTGGGAAGTGAACCGGAGAGGGGGTTGAGACGTTGACGCCATTGTAGCTGTACTGGAGACTCTGCGAAATCCCCGTGGTCAATCAACAATCTGTAGATCGAAAATCTTCGTCGGCGCCAGATGCTCGCCTGGACCGCAAAAAGCGAATCGAGAAAATCTGCCGGGGCGGAGTTGTTCCGGCGCCGAGCGCGGCGTTAATCCGCGGTTATCTCCGGGACGGATAAGGACCCTTCACCGGATAGATGGGATGGGTTGGGTTGAACATCACTGCATTTATAATCACTTGTTTTCTTCGATTATCTTGGGTTTGCTCCAGATTTTCACTTAATCAACCTACACTACTATACAAACGGACAAAGCAGATCGTCACCATGCTTCCACCAGCTCTCAACATCCCCAAATGGTACAGTAGTCCACCTCCACATCGCCACTACAAACTACTACTACTGCCCCTCCCCCGCATTACCTTCTAGAAACAAAACACACGCGACACAAAACACCCACTCCCCAATATACATATACACAGCGCTAACTTGACAGAAATAGGCTGGAAACCAACTCCCACCTCCTCCAACCCCCGGTAAACAACTACTGCGTCTACCACCCCTCCTCCCCCGCCACGCAAGGCTACACAGTAATGATAGTCGGCGGCCCCAACGCCCGAACAGACTACCACATCAACACGACCCCGGAATTCTTTTACCAATATAAAGGCTCCATGCTCCTCCGCACCGTCGATGAATCCAGCACCCCGCCCACCTTCCAGGACATTCCGATCCACGAGGGATCACTGTTCTTGCTGCCGGCGAATACGCCGCACTGTCCCGTAAGATTCAAGGATACGGTGGGTGTGGTGATGGAGCAGCCGAGGAAGGAGGGGGCGGTGGATGCGATGAGATGGTATTGTCGGAATAAGGATTGCGGGAAGGTGGTGTGGGAGAAAAGGTTTGTTTGTACGGATTTGGGGACGCAGGTAAAGCAGGTTGTGGAGGAGTTTGCGGGCGATGAGGAGAAGAGGACGTGTAAGGCTTGTGGGGTTGTGGCGAGGTCGAAGTATGAGGAGGGGGAGGTGGTGCAGCCTTAGACTTAGTGCTTCTTTGGGGGTTGTTTGTTGAGTAGGTTGCTGTTTGGTGGGTGGTGTTGTGGTGGTGGAGAGATACCCTGTTGGTGATGTATGTGGCTGGTTGGTTGGATGTAATAGTAGCTGTGTAAAACTGTTTTCTATTTTGCTTCCTCAATGTCAATAGGATCTTGACCGGTTAGTGATTCTGGTATGATGCTAGATTGTGTCTGCCAAGGCAGCGTATACTTGGGATAGTGGATTCTGATTCGGATGTATAATTAAAGAGGTATCAGGCACAGTTCTGGACAGGGGAATATGAAAGATAGAAAACAGCCACAATAGCCAAGAAGCCGCTGTGGCCAAAACAGGAAAGTAAGACAGTCTAAAGAATGTGACAGGTATAAGAAAAAGGCTAGTAGGTAGTGGCACAGGAATGTAATGCAGCCGCTCTGAATAAACGCAACCCCGGCAAAGCGCGCTATGGTTTCATACAGCCAAGGTAGAAAAAAAGACCAGAAAATGCCAACATGATCATGTTGTCTGTGAAAGAACAAAAAGAAGGATATCCTGAAAATGTGTTTAGACATAGTGCGCCTTGAACAGAAGAATACCAGAAATGACAGGTCCACTAAGCCAACATATGGGACACGCATCTCAATCATCGGTGCACGTAGCATCATGACCATCTGGTAGTTAAACTGCCATGAATCTCATGCATCAGCATTTTTCTTCCATCAATCATCAAATGGACAGTCGATGCTCTCGTGGCCGTCTCTCTCACAGAGAGCACACCACTTAGACTCGTCAACGACGCCGCTTTCCTTTCCGCCAACAGGGCCCATGGTTGAGGAAGAAGACGACAAGTTCGCTCCTCTGAGTCCCTCCATCACAACATCACGACCCGTCTTCTGAGGAGTCGTGTCCTCCTCATGTGAAGATGTAGATGGTTCACCCGTGGATTCCTCTGGAGTTGGCTTTTCATCCACAGAGCTATCGTCATGGGGTGTCTCAGTAGCATCAGGAACCTTCTTACTCTCCGCGCCGAACATGTTGGTGCAGGTCAGGATATCGTGCCCTCCGGTCTCACAGATCTCGCACCACAGCGAGCCGCCGTCCTCTGAGCGGCCGTCTGACTCGTGCATGGTCTCCAGACGATGATGAGAAGCATCCGAAATACCGCGGTGGCGGGTAGAGTAGGCCTGATATTGTCCCTCATGCGGAGGTAAATCTTGCCAGTCGTTGGGAACGACTGTGCGATCCGAAAGCCGATGCGCATGGTTGATTCCATGGCCGTTCGTAAGCTTCCCATTCACACTGGGAGACTTTTGGTGGTTGGGCGATGAAGAGACCGCGGAGCCGGGAGCGTGAGCGTGAGCGTGAGCGTCACCATTCAGCTGCAACTGCTGGAGCTCGCGTTCTAGTTCTTCGATACGGTATGTCTTCCGTTCGGAGATGCGCTCAAATTCCTCGACACGTTGTTCTAAATGAGCCACATGGTCGGGGTCATGGTTCGGCGGGCTCGTCCCAAATCCATTCTGTTGCAGTGCATGCAAATCTGGGTCGCCCCGGCTCAAGGAGTGGATAATTGCTTTTAGGCCACGGATTTCATCATCCTTCTGCTCAAGTTCTTTCGAGTATAGTGGCCCATCCCCAGCTACGTGGGAGTCCTTGGAATCCCGCTCCTTCTGTAGCTCGAGCTTTGTCCGCTCGACTTCTCCGCGCAAGAATTCAACTTCCGCCCTAGCTTCAGCCTCACCGCGCCGGGCGTCCTCCAGACCCTCTTCTAGCTCCGAGACCAATTCTTCCAATTGCTTAAGCTGTCGCGCAACCGCCTCGACATCCTCTCCGCGATCCTGAAGCTCTCGATTTTGTTGCATCAATTCGTCCAGCCGCTGCTCATAGACTCGCTCCGTCTCGGAAGCAGCGATCTCCAACGTATCCAAGGTGCTTCGGAAATCGGCGCGATGCAAATCAAACTCAGCCGTCAACTGAGCAATCCTCTCGTTCCTTTCACGCAACTGAGCCCGGATGGAAAGCGAATCTGACCCTTCCAGCTCCTCCAGGGTTCTCTGGAAGTCGGACAGGGTATGTGCTTGCTCGTCCAGCTGCTTGTCTCGGTCGAGGAGTTGGTTCTCTAGGCTCTTGATGTGATCCTTCAGCTCTTGCACCTCTGCTGCCATTGCCGATTGCTGAACTTCGGATACTCTAGATGCGGGGCCATCATCTTCAGTGCTCACTCGGCTGACCCGCGAGGGAGGGCGATCAGAGGCGCGCGACGGGGCTTTGATAGGACTGCGTGGGTAGGTGCTGGAGGGGGCCGCGCGGGAGGCCGAAGAGGGCGTGCGAAGCCCGGTCAAGGTGAGCTTGGACGGCGGTGGTCCTCTAGGAGATTCAGGGCGGGGAAGGGAAGGGCGTCGGACGCGTGGTGGGCGCATTGCGGGACCAGGGCCAACGGACTTGCTGAAATTGACCGGTCGGGAGGGGGTTGGAGGGCCGGTGCTCACCGTCGAGGTCGGACCGGACGAGCGCTTGGTGACGTATTTGTTGTTGTTCATGGGCACAAAGATCCCTGAGCCGGGGACGGATGTAGAGAAGTATCTCCTGCCCTCGACATCTCCATTGTTTTTCCCTCGTCTGGCATGCTCCGGCGCTAGCTCAATGCCTGCAAACTTTCCTGGCTTGCCCGCAACACTTCCCAGATATTTGACAGTCCCAAACATACCCCCGGGGACATTGACCAGGTCACCCACCTGGACGTCGTCGAGGGGCGCCATAGCGATGGGGGAATGGGACGACTGGTGGTGCGCTGAATAGAGGGGGTGGTGGAAATGAGGTCGACTTATACCGCACGAAGGAGGGGGAGGGCGTTTAGAAAACTGCGACGGATGGATTTAAGGAATGCGTTTAGAAAGGGGTGGTTGCAGAAGTAGTAGTAGGGGAGGTTGGAGAGGTGACTGATCATAGGCCAGTCGTCATGGTGTTTGCTGGATGCTGGGTTCAGCTGCGAGGAGGAGAGGCTCGGAGGGTTTGTTTCCTTATGCCGTCCAGCGTTTGCCTCAGTTGGGCAGCGAAGGACGGAAAAGAGAAAGAGCCAATCCGTCCGGTGGATAGCAATAGAGAGAGAGACTGAATTGTTCAGTCAGTCACTGCCTCCAGGAGTGAAAACAGAGGCAAAACAGTTGCTAAGGTTGAACGGCCAGTACCGTGTCGTCATGCTAGCAGGGACAGGGGACCCTTTCACACCGTCTAGTTGGTCACAGTTGACTATCGAAGACCAATTATTCTTCCATCTTCGCATCGCAGCGGCCTCGGCCACAATAAACACACGAACCATGGGTTGCTTCTTTCGGCGGATGGCCTGCCCCACCGGGCCGAGTGGCTGTTATGTACTTTACCTTACAGAAATATTGAGTATGTACAAGGGTGCATTAGAAGTATCTGGTATCAGTATATACTGGTATGTACTGCCCGCACAGCATGTAAGTTACCACCAGCTTCCTTGGCGGGCTGACTAACGCATAGACTAGTGGGTGCCTTTTCCTGCCTCAGGTTCTCCATCTCACCACATCATCGACTGGCTCTCGTTGCATCCACTCACTCACTCACTAACTCCGCCTCAATCCAGTCCACGGATATCGACTCCGGTCTGAACACGCGGCTTCTAAAGTATTCATCTTCTCGGTTTACACTCTTCTCTTATCCCTCAACCTCCCCAATTCACTCTCATTCCCTTTCTCCGCTGGACCTTACTTTGTACATTCCATCCGCTCAAGGGCCTCAGATCATTTGCTCTTCCCCTCTCCCTTGCTCCGCCGGCTTCTTCTGCCTGCCTGTGCGCCTGCGCCAACGCCGGGGTGGATCCCAGCCGTCAGAACGATAGTGCCGCGTAGTCACCTCCTAGTCGCCACGGGGACCCCGTCCCTACAGCTATCGCGGCTCAATAATCAGCTTCCTGTAGCTGCTTTGTGAACAGCTTTCCCTGCACTGGTGTGCTCCTCCATCCACCATGGCGCAATATTTCTTTGATCTTCTCTACAACTTCACCGATTGCATGTGCTGTTTTCCCAGCACGCCGCAATTAAAGATCAACAATCGTAGCTTCAAATTGCTCCGACTCCTCGGTGAAGTATGATTGCTTCTGACTTTGGTTCACTACAAAACACCCACGAATGCGCGATGCTGACGATCAACGCATCATGCTAGGGTGGTTTCTCCTATGTCTACCTCGTTCAAGACAAATCGACCTCGGAACTGTTTGCGCTGAAGAAGATCCGGTGTCCCTTCGGTCAGGAGTCCGTTTCACAGGCGTTGAAGGAAGTGGAGGCCTACAATCTGTTCACCACGCAGAACAACATCATTCATTCCATTGACCATTGTGTATCCACCGAATCCGGGTCGAAATTCCGCGCCGATGGCGGCGATGCAGGGTCGAAGACGGTCTACATCCTCCTACCATACTACCAACGGGGCAACCTCCAAGATGCCATCAATGCGAACCTCGTCAACCATTCCCGCTTCCCGGAGAAGCGTTTGATGGTGCTAATGCTCGGAGTTGCCAATGCGCTCCGAGCGATGCACCTGTACCGTGTGAAAAGTGGTACGGGTCCTACACGCAAGGCTAAAGCTGTGAGGAGAGAGGGTGCAGAGGCAGACGCGGACACTGCTATGCGGATGCCGAAACCGAAGCGACGCACCAGCCAGAATGTGGATGAAGAAGAGGAGAATGAGCCATTGATGGATGACGAGGTCACAATAAGTCAGGAGGGCGTGCAAGACGGCGATCTTCGCCCGTATGCCCACCGGGATATTAAGCCCGGTACGGCTGCTGCTCCCTATTCAAGCGATTATCCGCTAATGCTTGCTTTCAGGAAACATCATGATCGCTGATGATGGGCGTACACCCATCCTCATGGATCTCGGATCGCTAGCGCCCAGCCCCATTGCCATCACCTCCCGGTCGCTCGCCCTGGCCGTCCAAGACACCGCTGCGGAACACAGCACTATGCCGTATCGGGCACCCGAACTCTTCGATGTCAAGACGGGTTCGATCATCGACACAAAGGTGGATATCTGGTCATTAGGATGTACGCTCTACGCCTGTCTAGTGGGCAAGAGCCCCTTTGAAGCCCGCAGCGAAGAAACAGGTGGCAGCTTGAGCATGTGTGTGTTGGGTGGTGATTGGCGGTTCCCCGACGAGAAATCGAGTGCTACCAAGGGCAAGGGCAAGGCCGGTGGCGATGATAGCCGCAAAGATAATACGATGCAGATCAGTGCGCCCGTAAAGGAGGTGGTCCGCAAGTGCCTGCAGGTGGAGCCTGCAGACCGGCCTGATATTGATGAGCTGATTCAAATCCTGAAGGACGTTATCAAGGACCTTCCCGAGGAGGATGACATTGCCAGTGGTTCAAGCTAGTGGGCCTGCAGTGTCTACCTGTTTCGAGTCCTGTCGTGAGTCAGCTGGTGGGATTGTCCCTGTCAGTTGAACTACGTGCGGAGTTGTCTGGCCCTGGCCAGATTGTATTATACCAGCCAGATCTGCACATATCGCCTCATTATCTTTTTCTCTCCTGTCCGTGTCTGTGGTCATTTGGGATTGTCATCCAAGATTCTCTGCTGTGGTTTCCAGATTCGTGAGCTTGATACCAGAATAATATTAGCTGCAGGCGGCAGTTTGATTTCTCCTTGTTTATCCGAGTCTATTCAGGTGTAAAAGTGGTCGTTTTGGAGTATCCCTAGTATGTTTTGATAAGATCTGGGGACATCCCATGGTTTGGCCATGATCTGGGCTTGTTCTGGCCCAGCCGTAGAATGCTTATGACACATCAGATCATCCTAAAATCTGGTCCAAAAGTGGGAGCAGCACCCATTAACTGTTCCTCATTGAGAAAGTACAATCAGATCATTATTTGACACGGCTGATAAGGTAGCTAGCTGAATCCACCCGACGCCGGCGCGAAGACTACCATGGCTCTGTCCAGCGTGATCCGTGCTGGAGGGGGACATGCCAAAGCGGAGTAAGTCCGTGAGCATCAAGTCTATTCTCATCAAGGAGGATGGTCGGAGCGACGCACCAGTAACATCTGCTATCAACGGTCTTTTCCTGATATACCAATGAAGCAGCCTAGGCTTCTTCCGATCAAGCAGCGAGATACGATTTGCCGACAGCCCCGCGCCTCGCTTGAACAACTAAACCGGTTAGCGATGGATGACATCTGGATTGGAGTCAAATGGGGGGGGTGCGCGGGGAAGTTCCATGCCGGACGGGTGGTTATCCAACTTATCCAGCTGCCATCAATGGATCGATCTGCTGGAGGAGATAGCAGAGGTGGATCCAAGGCTTCTTTAGTTATCAGCTGGACTGAGAATCACCCTGAGCCAACAATTGAGCGGTTGTCGGTCTCTTTGCTGCACGACGGAATGCCTTCCGCCTGCTTATCTGGTGGATGATGATAACAGGGACTACTAACTAGGCTGGTGGACTTATGACCGGATATCTAGATGGAGGGAATCTTTATCTTCTCGCATTGCTAGGAATTCGGTCTTGCAGCGGGGATTACATATTTGCTATTTTGCCGACGCTTTGACTTGATTTGATTTGATCGTTTTCGGAGTATTTCTGATAAACAGCCTTTTGACCACCTCGCCAGCTGCTCTCCTTGACGTTACATTCCTTCCATTCCTCCTCATCTCCCTCCACTCTACCCTCCACTCTCCATGAACTACTTGAGCGGTTAATCTAGTATCATCAAGATGACCCCAGGCCTCGATCGGACTGCTATTCCGGGCACCGTGACGCTGGTGGACTTGGAGCATGTCCTTGCCACCCGTCATGCGGATCGCGGCGACAGTGACATCGTTCTCATTCCGGAACCGTCCAATGATCCCGATGATCCCTTGAATTGGGCCCCCTGGAGGAAGACCTTGTCTACCATCTGTGTGAGCGTGTATGTCTGCAGAATGTGTCTATTAGGTTAATCTAGTGGATGCAGGGACTAACATGGGCCCTGCAGGTACACGTTATTTGCTGGTATCGCATGCTCTGTCGTCTACTCGGTGCTCACGCAGTTATCCGAAGCAACAGGTGTCTCGGTTGATACTCTCAATCAGGGAACCGGGTATATGTTTTTGTTCGCTGGATGGGGGCTTTTGTTTTGGCAGCCACTGGCGCTGCAGTATGGCAAGCGTCTGACATACATCCTTTCTTTGGTTGGCATTCTGGTATGCACTCACTGGGACTCTCCTATATAAATACTAATTACTCCACAGGGCACCTCAGTGTGGGGGTACGTTGTCTGACATGACTGTATGCATAATTACTGACCCCAGCAGTCCCTATATCCACACCAACGGCCAGTGGATTGCGCGCAGTATCCTTTCGGGGTTCTTCACGGCTCCCATTGAAGCTCTCCCAGAAGTAACCGTGACTGATGTGGTGAGTTTCTATTTGGAACTCGTATCGGACTAAGCTGACAGTCCAGTACTTCACCCATGAGCGGGGAACATACATGGCGTTATATGCATTCTTCCTGGCAGGCAGCAACTACTTTGCACCAGTCATCTGCGGCTTCATCGCCGAGTACCAAGGCTGGCAATGGGTGTTCTACTGGCCCAGCATTTTCTGCGCCTTTGCAATTGTCTTCTTGTTTTTCTTCATGGAAGAGACGAACTACGTGCGCGAGAAGGCGCCAGTCGCGGAGGTTACTTCGACGGAAGCTTCTTCGCGCACGTCCGAGCAGGGCGACAAGGAGAAACGTCCTGCTGATGTGGCACAACAGAGTGACACAGAATGCGGGGTGATGTATCAGAGGAAGACGTATCTGCAGAAACTCTCGCTTGTAGGGCCCAGGCTGCCGAGGAACAATATGTTCCGGCGGTTCTACCACACATTGTACTATCTGAGCTGGCCAGTGGTATTCTACGCGGGGTATGTCTTCCTGCAACAATGGGTTTATGAAGCTAACCATGGCAGATTCTCGTACGGATCATACCTTATATGGTTCAATGTGTTGAACGGAACAGCTTCTATTATTTTGGGCGGCGCGCCTTATAATTTCAGGTACGTTGCATTGTTTCAGATCAAACTATGCATTTTGCTAATCTGAATAGCTCTGCAATGGTCGGACTCAGCTATGTATCCTGCATTCTGGGTACATTACTAGCGTGAGCTTTCCGGAGTATTCTCGAGCGATTCATAAAAACCAACTAACAACAACAGCTCTCTCTTCACCGGCCGCTTCAGCGACTGGCTCACGGTCCGACTCGCGCGACGCAACAACGGAGTCATGGAAGCCGAACAGCGCCTGTGGCCCTTTGCCATCTGCCTTATCCTCGTGCCAGGATCTCTCTTGCTCTGGGGCGTGGGAGCGGCGCACCAAGTGCATTGGTTCGGACTGATCGTAGCGATGTGTCTGCTGGCGTTGGCGAACACGTGCGGCATCACGCTGAGCGTCAACTACCTGGTCGACAGCTACCGGGAGCTGAGCGGGGATGCGATGGCGAGTGTGATATTGGTTCGGAACACCATGTCGTTCGCCATGGGCTATGGGTATTTCCATCCCTTCCACTTGGTAATCTTCAGCAAGCTAACTGCAATAGAATAACACCGTGGGTAAACCACCTCGGATACCAGAACTGTTTTATATCCGCTGCATTCGTGGGCATGGCATGCGCAGCAGTGTTCCTGGTGATGATCAAATGGGGGAAGACGTTCCGAATGCAGAGTCGCGAGAAGTATTGGAGAATTGTGGAGGAGAATTGGGCGAGGGGAATGGGCCATTAGCATTTTTTTCCCCAAATATAACAAGGGTATCACCATAACGCCATGTATATACCCCCATCCATCACGAATATCATGATCCAGCCCATATACCACCCGGTATAAACCCGAAATATCAAATAACAACCATTAGATAAACAATGATGATAAAATTAATTTACCCCCTCCCCATCTTCCACCTCATGGCATACTCCCCTTCATACCTCGCCCTCACCATCGCCTCAAACCACTCCCTCTCCATCCTCGCCAACATCTCCTCTGCCGTTTCTCCTCCTTCTTCTTCTTCCTCATACTCTTCCTCCTCCTCCCTAATCTCCCCCTCCTCAACCTCCTCCTCCTCCAACTTCTTCTCCCTCACCACCCCCTTCCCTCTCCTCCTCTTCAAAGACCCAGAGGGTAATATTTCCTCACACCCCCTAAGGCCAATAAACCTCCCAAACCTCCTCCTCTTCACCTCCAACCCCACCTCCTCATCCGCGACATACCCCTTCGCACCCCCATCCCTCCTAATCCACGGCTGCACAATCCTCACCGGATACCAGAACGTGCCGCGCACCGGCGGGTCCACCTGATGGAAGTGCACTGCGAGTCTATCCAGTTGCTCGGACGTGAGGAGGTTATATTGGAGTAAAGATCTGGGGAAATCGGGGTGTTGGTGGCCGGTGGTGCTGGAGACGAGGGGGTGGAGGGGCGTGCGGAAGTGGGCGAGGATGAGGGGGAGGTGGGGGTGGATTTTACTATTAGGTGTTTTTTTCTGAGGTTGAGGTTGGGGGGTGGGCTTGGTTGGAGAGGTAGATGTGGGTGGTGGTTTGGGGAGGATGTGTCGATATCGGGGGGTTCGTCGTGGTGGTGGTGGTGGTGGTGGTGAGGATTGTGATGGTTGTTGAGGGGGGGATGATGGTGCAGAAGGGATGGGAGAAGACACGGGGGTAGTAGGTGTGGTCGGGCTGGGTGGGTAGTAGTCCTCCGGAGATGGAGGGTCGATGGACAGGTAGTGGCTGTGGCGTTGTCGTCGCATTCGGCGTCGTTTGGGTGCTGGTGCTGGTGCTGGTGACTGGGCTGGGACCGGTGATGGATCTGGAGATGATGGTGATATAGTCTCTGATATGCGACGCTTGCTCATTTTCAAGAAGCTGGTCTGCAGTGGTTGCCTGTCTAAAAGTACAAGAGATAGTGCCTGATACTTCGAGGAACAACTTCTAGTTATATCCTTTTACGGCTTTGTTGAGTGCATCTGCCATGTACCCTGTGAATGTACTATAAAAACTTGAAACGGGGTTCGCCGGTGCCTTGTCTCTGTACAATAGCCTCACCCGGTCTTTGTTGGTGCATTGTTGCATAAAGAGATGGTAATTCCGTCGCATCTTGCTCCATTGTCCATACCCGCTTGTTGGCTACGTATGGTGTAGCGCGAAACAGAAGCTACACCTGGTAGAGCATGATAAAGGCATTGGACAATGCCGACAAAGCATCACTAGATGGCCATATGACCTCATATTCAATCTTGCTGAATATACTATTAACCACTAATTTATACAGAAGCCAGTGTTCAGTTAGCGGCCCCATCCAACGTCACCTGCTGGAGTCGTCGCTCCATCGACGCCTGCTTCGTGGTGCTAAATTCTGCAAACTCCCGCGACGCCGGCGGCAGTCCTACATACTTGTTAATCCAGTTGAGCACGGTGTGGTGCCACATGAGCGAGTTCTCCGGATTAAGCACCCAGTGGTTCTCGTCCGGGAAAGTCAAAAACGCACTTTCGACACCCCGCATCTGCAACACGTTGAAGGCAGCGAGACCCTCCGCGATTGTCAGCCGGTAGTCCAGCTCATTGTGGATCACCAGATGCGGTGTCTGCCAGTTTGCGGTGTGCCGAGACGGGTCCCAACGCTCCCAATTCTCAGGGACCTTCCACAAGGGCCCCTTGAGATCCCGCACAGGGAAGTAAAGCTCCTCGGTGGAAAGCATCGATGTCATGCTAAAGATTCCATCGTGGGTCACCAGAGCCTTGAATCGTCGGCCCAATGGGTGCCCTTGGATCCAGTTGACCATGTAGCCGCCAAATGACGCACCAAGCGCCACAGCACGGGACGTGTCGACGTACTCCAGGTTATTCTCAATATAATCGAATCCCTTCTCGAGATCTATATATGGCAGGCTGCCGTAGTTGCCACGAATCTCATCCGTAAACTTTTGTCCGTAACTGGTGCTACCTCGGGGATTGGGGGTAACGACAACGTAGCCCTGCTCAGCAAACACCGCCGGATTCCAGCGTGTGCTCCACTGGTCACACCAGGCACCCTGAGGTCCACCGTGAATCAAGTAAGCTAGCGGATATTTCTTGCCCGGTTTGAAGTTGGAGGGCTTCACAACCCAGGCATGGACGGGAGTGTCGTTGGCTCCCCGGTACCAGATTTCATCCACCTGCGAGGGCGAGAGTCCAAAGACAGCACCATTGCGACCGATGGACGAGATAACGCGCACGTCGCTGGGAGACTCGGGGTCGACAATAGACCATACGCTATTGTCCACCAAGCTAGTGCTAGAAATGAGCAGCTTTGTCGACTTCTTAGATGCGGGATAGACGTCCGTGACATAGCCTGCATCAGTGATCTTCTTCAACTTATCTGGAGTTGCATGGCGAATATCAGCGAGAGGAAGCTGATACAGCACTCCACGGCCATACTCCTCGACCTGGATAAACAAAGATTGGTCATCATTCGATAACGTTAGGCCAGCCGGGCTGGAATCCCACAATCCCTCTCCGTCTGCAGAGGCAAACACCTCGATCATTTCACCGTTCCAAGGGTTCGGCACATATAAGATACGTCTCTTATCCGACTCGTAACCGTCTTCGCGCATGGCAAGAAGAAGAATCGAGCTGCCATCCGAAGTGAGGATCGGGGAAGACATGGCTCCTTCGAGTCCCTTTACCGCGCAGACCTTAGCCTCTAACGCGTTCACACCGGTCCATGAAAACATAGGGCAGTAATAACAGGAGCAGGAGGTGTGCGTGGCAGGATTGAGATCTGGATCTTTCGCCACAAAGACAATTGCTGACGGGCTGATGTCAAAGTCACCGGTGCCTCCGAACGGTGGGATAGGAGCCTCGACACCCGCAAGACCGCTCACCGAGATCAAGTTCGTCAGTCCCGACACGGAGTACTTGCCCGCTTGTCTGGTAGCTGGCGACAGAGGGGCGCGCTGAAGCAAGCCATACCAGATGGCATTCTTCTGAGGCTCGATGTACGAATCCCAATGTCTCACGTAGAGCGACGTAAAGAGCCGCCCAGTGCTGATTGGCTTCTTTGCGTCATGCGGATTGTGAAGCGTCCCATCAGGGTTAGCCTTACCAGTCACAGCAAAGCCGATCTTGCCCGGCTCGACAACCGTGACCTTGAGGTCAGAAACGGGGCCAGGGACGGTTCCCGCCGTGTATGTTTTGTCTGCCTCATGTGCATCTCCCACAATAAAGCTGGTGTTGCCGTTGGCCTTTGCCTTGAGCCAAACCAGCTGATTGCTGTCGCCCAGCCACTGCGGACAGCTGGCACCGGCGTCGTTGGTGATCAAGGCTGACCGGCCAGTGGCAATATCCAGAACACGGATCTCGTTTGTCTTGGAGTGGGATTCAAACGAGTAAGTTGTCTGGGTGTAGACGGCAAGGGTGCCTGAGGCATTCGGAACTGGTCCGGAGCGCCTAGGGGCTCCGAGCAGAACCCTGACAGGTCAGCTTCATTGACTTAAGTAGGAGAAGTGATATGTGAAAATTGACTGATGAAGTGGTCTCTGCTGCTGGTATTGGTGATGGCTTACTCCGGAGTGAACTTCATGGATCGGATGGTCATGTCACCTTCACCGGCAGGTCAGTAGCTGATCGACACCAGTGATAAGATAGGGGGTCATTACTGTTCCTGAACAACAAGAATTGATACGAAGGGCCAGTGAGGAATGGACAAGCGCAGTTCCTCCTCGTGGCTGATGGATGTCAGACGAGTAGGTGTAAGAAGGAGGGATGAGAGCTGCAGGGAGATGAATGAGGAATGGGGAATGGGGACCGTGAGGGGAAGCAGCAGAAGGAATGAGGTGGTCGGTGAGGGGAGTTCTCTTATCGGCTGACCCACGGACTCCGGCTAGTCCCTGTTTCCACAAAGTTACTTGAACCTGGATTGCAACGTTCGGTAGATCCCGATTCTAACATATTTAACCTTTATTTATATCATTGAATGCAGATTGATATGGGGTCCCGATAAATGCGGAGAATCAGTGGCTAACTTTCCTACTGTGGTTCTCCCGGTGGGGACCTCAGGCACTCCATAACCCCTGCTGGCTCGCCGCTCGGTTGTGAGGATCGCGCCAAACAGTGACCATAATGCCTACAGTACAACACACAAACTATTTACAATTCGACGCTGTCAGGAGATTTTCATACCATCAGGAAACTAATGACCTAGACGTGTTTAGCCTACCGATTCCGTGCGCCCTGTTAGGGCTTTGCTGCAACCGCTTTGCCGAAGGAAAAAGAGGAAGGAATCTACAAACAAGCACAGCACTAATCTCGTGAATTACTAGAGCTGACGCAGATCGTGAACTAAGGGTCCAATCTAGTCCAGGTCTGCAGAAAGGACGCCTGTAATCGTACTGAGGGTTGGCCAACTGCAAACAACAGGCTTCCAGCTAATGCCACGGAACCAATGCGAGCCACACAATATGGTATAGCATTCAAGGAGCTGATTATAATACATGGCTCCATAGTGCAAATGCAAAACACCGGCTCATTTGGTTCTCCTGTCCAGTGGAGCTACCATTCAAAGATGTTCAGCCAAGGACCGATCGGCTACTGTGGGCAGACCGGAGAGAGATGCCGAGTGGTCAGGCCGAGAACTTGAATTTAGCCACGTACATAAAGCAAGCAGCATTTCCACTCGATAGCTACATCATCGTTTCCAACTGTACGCCTACTTACTATTAAACTCTACTGCAATTGTGCTGGTGCAAAATGCCCTTGAAGATCATAGTGGTTGGTGCTGGTCTTGCCGGTCTAGGCGCAGCCATTGCATTGAACCGACAAGGTCATGACATTGAGGTGTGTAATTAGCGACACTATCGCTCAATGCTGAATGGAACTGACTATTCAGATCCTCGAACAATCTGGCTTCCTGAATGAAGTAGGAGCTGCAATCCACATGGCGCCTAATGCCACGCGCATCCTCAAGGACTGGGGATGCAACTTGGAGAACCTGCAGCCCGTCCATTGCAACAAACTGCGGTTGTGGGATCACCAAGGAAACCTAATCCGGACACCAGTGGTAGGGGCTATTATTCAGGGTTGAGATCATCAATCCAGGCTAATAATCATGCAGGTGACCAAGGATGCTCAGGAAGCACTGGGCATCTACGATGAGTGGTTACTCACACACAGAGTGGATCTGCACAATACTCTTAGGGATATGGCTGCCAAGGAGGTCAATGGCAAAAAGCCTGCCATTCATCTGCGTTCTCGTGTAGCTTCAGTGGTTAGTATCTATTTCAATTCACCCAGAGTCTCCAGGCTGCTAATCGAGATGATCGATAGGATCCTGAGGCTGGAGTGGTAACCCTCGAGGACGGTACCAAGTTCACTGGTGACTTGATCATTGGGGCGGATGGCATTCATGTACGGACGCTGCTATTTGTTGGACCCATATCTAATATACTAATTGTTTCACTAGTCTCGGTGTGTTAGCAGTGTCATCGGTGGACCTACACAGAAGGAAAGCACGGGGCAGAACTGCTTTCGCTTTCTCATCCCTGTTTCCAAGATGAAAAGCAACCCTCTTACTGCCTCTCTTTTGGAAAAGATGGGATCGGACGCTGTGGACGTGTTCGCGTCGGAGGATCGGCGACTAGTTGTCTACCCCTGTCGTCACGGCGACCTGCTCAATGTCGCTGCTATTCATCCTTCGGGCGCCGACTCTAGCGCTAGAGAATCGTCTTGGCTCGACAGTGGCAACTTGGATTCGTTGCTTGAAACATGCAGTGCATTCAGTCCGGAACTACGCGAGATGTGTAGATTGGCAGAGGACCTGAAGCTCTGGAGCTTGGCGTCTCGTTCTCCGCCGCGCACATTCATACGTGGCAAACTAGCACTCATTGGAGATGCAGCCCACCCAACCCTACCTCGTAAGTTACTTTGTGATTGTTACAAGCTTGTGGCTGCATCCATTGCTAATCATGCTCATGACTTAGACCAGGGCCAAGGCGGCGCACAGAGTTTCGAAGACGGGGCAGCTCTAGGCGCCCTGTTCACTCCCGAATGTACCAAAGATGATATCCCGGGTAGACTAGAACTGTACAACAGGGTACGCTATGGGCGATCGGTAACGGTGATGCTGATGTCCAAGGTC